TAGCTTTGCGCCTTTCCTGGGACTCACTTGGTAGTCCAGGCTGGCCTCGAACTCATAGAGATCCACCTGGCTCTGCCTCCCGAGTGCTGGGATTAAAGGCGTGCGCCACCACCGCCCGGCAGGAAGCAGAATTTTTATCTTCAAATAATCACATATGAAATCATGAGGAACAAAGATAAAACACAGGAGTCATTTACCACAATATTATGTTAAGTGTAACCCTGAAACTCAAAATAAAAAATGTACAGAATATTTATAAATGCACAAGTTACAACTTTAATATTAAACACATGCTGAACTCATGTGTTTAATATTAGTCACAACTATTACAGTTCAAGCTAAAGCACTACAAATGGAATCAATTAGTCTCAGGATTTAATGTACATATTATTTACAAATATACATTTTACATCTCTACAATTCATTATTCCAATTCATGTGTTTAAAATTAGATTCACAACTATTACAGCTCAATCTAAGTGTTAGAAATACAACAATTATTCTTAGGACATACATTATCCTTTGCAGTTAAAGAGAATGTGTTCCTACACTATCTGAGGCCATTGCTCTCTAAACCATATAGAACAGGCCAGTCAAGTTGAGGGTTCCCAGTTTCCATATAGGAAATCACTTGTGGAACTCTTAAGAGACAATTCTGAGATCCATCCCAAGCTTACTAATTAAGAATCTCCATGGGCATGGCAAAATAAGTACATAAATGGTGACTCTGAGTCAACCTGAATTAAGTACTAGCGCCTAAATTTTCATTCTTTCCATATCATAAATTCTGATGGCAGGTCCTAAAATTCAATAAAAACCCAGTGAGTGCTTAGTAAATTAGTAAATAAGCCATAAATCTAACTCCTTTAAACAACAACCAAACCTATGGATGAAAATGAACTTTCAAAAAAGTTAATACTCAGAACTATAATTCATACCATATATATCTTTACCTTTTAATCAACACAAATTTCCTCTGGGTCACAAACAGGTTAGCTATTTAGAATTTATAATAAAATGTTTTTTAAAAAAAAACTTAAACCCAATCTTAAAATACATTATCAAATTTTTTTCTCTGTGTGCGCATGTGTCTGTCCTATGTGTACAGGCACGTGCATGTGGAGGTCAAAGGACAACTCACAAGAACTAGTGTCTCCTGCCACCATGTGGGATCAAAAAATTGAACTCTGGCTGGCAGGCCTGCATGCAAGCGCCTTCAACACTAAGCAATCTTGTAGACCCAGAATTCCAAAATATTTCTTAGTACTGTTTGATATACTACTCAGTTTAGTCCCTTCACAAATATAGCAAATAATGTACTTGATATCCACTTAAAACATCAAATTTAACATCAACATAGCCTCTGTACATGGTATATTCCCCACATTACTATGATTTAACAATACCCTCTAGGTTCTCAATTAGAGCCAAGGGAAACAGAAGTTTTATAGTAATCGGAAAAAGTAGTCACACCCATTCACTTCCCACTGCAGTATCCTAATTAATAATAAAATACAAATGAACAAGCTTATTAATTACTATATAACCAAAAAGGAAGCAAAACTTAAAAACTTCCTTAAAAATGAAACTATAGAATAATTTATTTTACTTGCTCACCCAATGAATAAACCATGTTATACCTAACTAATTTATTTTAGAGACAAGGTTAAATATCTTGATGATAATCAGGGCAGCTAATATACTATAACCAGAGGACTGGAGAGATGCCTCAGTGGTTAAGAGGGTGCACTGCTCTTGCAGAGAACCCCAGTTCAGTTCCCAGTAATCCACATCAGACAGCTCACAATCACCTGTTACTTCCAGGTCCAGGGGAATCTAATGCCCTCTTCTGGTCTCCTCAGTTACTCACACTCACATGTATATAACAACCTACTATATACATACACACAATACATCTTTTTTTAAAAGATGAAATTAGCAGATCATGGCTATTATTGAAAACTTAAAATCAAGGTATTTTATCTGCATTTGAGAAAGAGATCTGTCACAAATGACTAAAGACCTTTAATCATTTTAGTACACTTTCTACACTGTAGGAACATAAGTTCTATATTAAAACTCAGTAGCCGGGCGGTGGTGGCGCACGCCTTTAATCCCAGCACT